GGAGGGCAAATGCCCATTTTGCCCTTCCCTGGATCCGCCACTGACACGACCTCTTTCGACCAGCTTCGTGACCTGGGGGTGCTGACCTGACCTTGACCTGAGGTCAACACCCTAAGTTGACCTTACCCGAACAAAAAGTACATCATTCGACGCGCCTGAGCGAGGCGAACACGATGCTGCCAAAATCGCGGCTCTGCGGCCGTTTTTTGCGAAGTTATTCACCAAAAACTGAACCGTACCCTGGGGCACTTGACCTGACCTCAGAGGTCGCCGGTTGACCTAGGACCTTAAAATCGGGTACCAATCTCTGCGTCTCCCAACGGCGCACACGCTCGTTTTTGCCGCGACGCGCTAGCTCCACCAGGGGCCAAACGACGAGGGGGGTCGTACCCGCCCCCCCCCCTCGGCCGGCGCGTATGTAGAAAACCAATAGGTCCCGCGAGGGTTAAGTTAAAAATACAAAGAGTTGAATTAAAGGCAAATAAATGTATTTGTATAAAAAACACCGACCGCAAAACATCTGCTCACATGTGCATGCACATGTCTGGCCCACTTACATTGCGCGCAGGGGAAGGGAGGCGTCTCGACCGCGGGTATAGGCACGATTAGTGCGTCCCGCAGGCCAGAGGGGGCCTCACTCACAGCACGAACACCACAGTTAACAGATTTCACTTTTTACTGCACAAATGCTGGAAAGCCCTCGTCGCTGCTCCATGCTGCACGGCGGCCGCGCAACAACTGCTGGTTCGAAACCGCCGCGCCGGGGCCCGCTAACGGCGGGCGGCGACCGCTGATTGGTCCGCCAAGTCTGACGTTAGGCGCAGCTGACCATGTGTATGCTGACCAGCTGACCAGTACAAGTTAGGCGCCGGTTAAATAACCATGCGGCAAGAAGTTTCCAAAACTGGTTAAGAAACAAACGTTGAAACAAATGTAGAGTTGGTCTGGATACTGAGAAGTTAGTGTGCATAGTAACTATTGACTCGTAGTTGTCACATGACAAGCAATGCACCAGAGAACGGCTTGTTTAACCTTCCGCCCCAGTGGAGGGGGGGGGGGCATATGTTGAATTATAATTGGAAAACAATTGGGGCATATAATTGGGGCATATGTTACCACCCTGTCGCGTTTTTTGCGTGTGAATAAAAAACGCCGCTTGGGGTAGCTTTTGGTACATCAATTTTGGACAATGTGTGAAATTTTTGACCCCAGGTCATGTCAGGTCAGGTCACCAGATCAAGTTAACTGACCAAGCCTAAAAAAGTTTGCCATTATGTCCAGCCTCCAGTGTTTGTCAGAAAGGTTTTAAACTTGGTGCATTGCATGCTGTTATGGACGCCTACAATTTGTATATCTCGGATTTTTTATATCCGTGACCTAAGGTCAGGTCAGTGGCGTGACCTTTCCATTACAAGTCAATGGAGAAAAATGAAAATGCCTCTAGATCCGTGTGTACGCATAGGAACAGTCCAAATATTTCAGAATCACAATGATTTAGTCCACTCGTGATGACCAAGGTGTCATTTTTGCTGGTAGCCTCTAGAAAGGTCATCCGAGGTCATTTGAGGCTACAAACAGTTTTTGCCAATAACTCGCGATTGGAAAGAGATAGAACGCTGGGGATGGTCTCATTGTGTTTGTCTTGTTGAGACGCATCGACTGGTATGCAACATGACCTTTTCCGGTCAGGTCATGACCTTGACCTGAGGTCAAATTTTCAAGTTGACCTTTCAAGGTCAAATTATAGTTCATTCGACGCGTCTCGGCGAGGGGAACACGATTCTGGCAATAGAAATGTCGTGGCTTTTTGTAGTCGAAAGTTTTGTTTAAAACACTTTTCGTAAAAACAGCTATTTTTGGAGTTTTTGCCCTCTGGACGCTAAACCGTTGACCTGAGGTCAATATTGATAATGACCTTTTCAAAAGAAGAGTTCAAAAGCTATCGATTGCGCTTCCCTGCGTTTTCTAGCTACCATAGCTCCTAAGATAGCGGCATGTTTTCTGAAAAATATGACAATTGGCAAATTTTGACCTTTGATGACCTCTGGTGACCCAGTATTGCTCTAAGGTGAAAAATAACCGAAATACTTTCAAACGTACGTATTGAGAGCTATCGACTACTATTTACCGCGTCTTTCTAGCCCTCTTAGTTTTTGAATTAGAGGTGGGTGGTAACATATGCCCCCCCCCCCCCCCCACTAGGGCGACCGGCGAAGTTGGCTGAGACCGCCACTGGGACGCGGGTGAAAAAGTATCAGTTGGTAAACATACCAAGAGATGATTGGTTATATTACACAAGACTCGTCAATTTGGTTTACAGTGTAGTCTGTTTACCGTAGGCATCGATGTTGAGTGTAAGTGTGACGGGAGTATGGTCTATGGTAAAAAAAGGCGGGAGGACTCCAGAGTCGAGGATCAATTTGTTATTGTCAATTATTATCAAGTCTAATAGATTCGCGACCTTATCTGTTTTCCGCGTTGGTGTGTCAATAATTTGGGTTAAGTTTAGTCGTTTAGTCCGTCTAAAGCATCTTTTAGTTTGATATCAAAAGGTGTTAGTGAGCTGTTTCTGTAGATTTCTTTATCGAGAAAAATGTTGCCTGTGTTGAAGTCGCCTAGTATGATTGTGGCTGTGGGTGATAGTGCCTGTGCACGTGTAACACTAACCGTGTTTACATAGGGTTCCCTTAATCTTCCCCTATTTGTCTCTTAAATGTCCCTTATAAAGGAATCCTCTGTGTCCTTTACCTCGCTTCACTACAAATATGGCGCAACTAAGTCATTCTAGAAGCAGTTTGCAATTGTTACTTACCTTTAGGGCTCTCCCAACAGGGACGTAGCCAAGGGGGGGGGCGGAGGGGGCGCCCGCCCCTCCCTTGGGGTTTTCAGGAGGCCCCCCGAAAGGATTCAGGCCAACGTGGGCCGAAGGCCCACGTTGGCCTGAATCCTTTCGGCCTGAATCCAACGTGGGCCGAAGGCCCACGTTGGCCAAAATCACGTCGGAGGCGAACGAAATTCACGCGGGAGTCTAAAAAATGACATCAGAACAATCAGAGCCCTCTGACCAGCCTGACAAGTGACAGCTAGGGCCCTTCTCATCTCCTTTGAATAACCACTAGTGTCTGTGTCTGACCGCTAGGGCCCCTCTGACTCCTCAGTAGAGAGGAGGCCCTCTGTGGGTAGGAGGCCCTGTGTAGAGAGGAGGCCCCCTTAGAGAGGAGACCCCCTGTAGAGAGGAGGCCCTCTGCAAAAAGGAGGCCCTCTGTAAAAAAGAGGCACTCTGTAAAAAAGAGGCCCTCTGTAAAAAGGAGGCCCTCCGTAGAGAGCAGGCCCTTTGTAAAGAGGAAACCGTCTGAAATCAGAAGGCCCTTTAAAGAGAGGAGACCCTCTGTAGAGAGGAGATCGTCTGAAGAGAGGAGGCCCTCTGTAGAGGAGGACTCCCTCAGTAGAAAGGGGTCCTCTGTAGGTAGGAGGCCGTCTGTAGAGTGAAGGCTCTCTGAAGAGAGGAGGCCCTTTGCAGAGATGAGGTCCTCTGTATAGAGGAGGTCCTTTGTAGAGACGAGACTCTGAAGAGAGGAGGCCCTACATAGATAGGAAGCCCTCTGTAGAGAGGAGGTCCCTGTAGAGACTAGAGAGGAGGCCCTCTGTAGAGAGGATGCCCTCTGTAAAGGAGGCCCTCTGGAGAGAAAGACACCCTCAGCAGAGAGGAGGCCCTCTGTAGATAGAGGCAATCTGTAGAGAGGAAGCCCTCTGTAGATAAGAGGCCCTCTGTGGGCAGGAGGCCCCCGGTAGTCAAAGACAGCGTCGTATATTAAGTACATAGAGTGGAGGCCCACTGTAAGCAAATTACCTTCCGGCTTCTGTTCCCTGCTACTCTCTATAGAGAGTTCTCAGTTCTCACTATAGTGAGAACTGAGAACTCAGGAAACTGTACAGAATAGACTCCCAACCGCGTCGCCGCCCACTGAGAAGGGCCCTAGCTGTCACTTGTCAGGCTGGTCAGAGGGCTCTGATTGTTCTGATGTCATTTATGATGACATTATGATGATGTCATCATGTCATTACTGGTCAGATTGAGCTCAAACTTGGTATGTGACCATATGTGATGCATATGTTGCAGGCACTTGCAGGCACACAATGAATATTAAAGCAATAATTAACAAAACACGATTAATTTTGTTCTGTGGCAACAGCTTTGAGTACCTACTTGCATGGTCCCAGTTAAAAATACGAGTATCAAGCTCCATACCGGGAGAATCATCAGGTCGCTTGGCGTAGGACGAGAGCGCCGGTTTCAGAAGACAATAACGCCTAAGTGTGTGGGATCGAATCCTCGCGACCTCGGCTCTAATAGTTTTGCAGATACAGGCCGGCATAGGGCCAGTCGTTTGTTGACGCTCCAGATCGATCATTTTAAATCCAGCAGCGTCGCTGACGTGGGGGTTGGAAATGTCGCGGGCCTGCACTTCTCAAAATAGAGGTAGGTATGGACTTCCCACTGCTGGACTCCTCTGGTCATAATGCTGGACTCCTCGGTCCACCTACACGCTACCAAAACCTATATAATTAGGTAGGTACTCGTATCTACAACACGCTGCTCAGTCATTTTGTAAAATGGCTAGGTATTTTGTAAAATGCCTAGGCATTTTACAAAATGACTGATTTTCTAAAGTGCCTGCAACACATACATCACTAACGTATAACTCGACCCGGGGTGCTGCTGCACGTTTGCACCATTTCTTTATATCTCCGAATCTACTGAAGACGGCTCAAAATTGTCATTGTCCTATTGTCATGAACCGTTCACACGCCTGGAACGCATCTATAGAACTGCACGTGCATGCCCGTGAATGGCTGCACGCGGACACGTGTACCTATGACCTCACATGAGCTACATTGACCCGTTAAGGATGCAGTTATTCACGAACCACTTAAGTTTAGATAACCCATGTTGATATTATGTTGTGATGTGTTATTTAATAATATAATTTTCGCTCAAAAATATATTAATGCAATAATAAACAACTTATTAGTAGGTACGCATGTCATCAGTGGCTACAAGAAATGAGCTACAATGTCTTCTTTTAATTAGTGATCCAAGTGGGTTATCTTTTGATGAATGATGGGCCGTTTACCTAAAAAGTCCCAACATAGACAAATAATTCCTTTGTTATCTGATGACTTCAAATTTTATTGAATTCATATCATTTTTCCACTAACTGGAAAACATCCGGGTAACCATCCGTCTTCGTTTGGGCGCTGTAGGTATGTATCTCAGTCAGGCCACAATCTATATCGCGTATCTTTAGTGCTTCTTGGCGCTGGTCAGCTTATGAACCTTGTCACGGCCCTTGCTCCTTGTCACTGATGGACTAGGTGTGTAGCCGCTGCTAGCATGAATGGCGCTGTTAGTCTCCGATGCATAGTTTGTCGTAAAGATGTTGAAAAGCGCACCAGCCATCTTCGTCAAGGTCGGTATAAACCCGTGGCCATTGCCACAGTGCAGCTCAACCAACCTCGTGTCCTCTTGGCTTATCACTGCTGCCACTTTTTGGAAGGCAGCACGCGGCTTGGAGCAGCCGAATAGTGCGTAGCGCGTCTCTTCGTCCTGCACCAGCCACCTGTGAATAACGAGAAAGACAATTATAATTGAAGCAAAAGTGACGTCAAATCAATGTGCCATGGTAACATTGACATTCTGTGCAGCATATTGTACGCTCTCGAGCGTTCAGACAAAACATGCGCAGTGCAACTGCTAACTGGCGTAAGCCAGATGAGGTAGGTAATGTTACCCGCCGACTGATGCATATCGTTTATGCTGTGCGCCTGATGCTAAAAAAAAACTTGAAATGTAATATTACAAAGCAAGATCTCGTCAATATTGACTATGGGTGAATTTGAATGCAGATAACAACAGCTTATTTCGGCATTTCTCACCTGTACATCAGGTACATGTCCGTTGTCACATGGACAGCAAGCTCCGATGGGCATAGAAGTCCTCCCCGGTTGAGGAGCTCCGTGAATGTTTTCACGGCATCCATTAGCCCAGGTCCGGAGCCATCCATTGGTTCGCTGTCCTCTTCCAGTCGCATGTTCTTGAGTGGTCCTTGTCCTCTGTTCACTAGAAGTTCGTGGCAAGATTCGCACACGTGCTTCTTTGTGACGGAGCGGGCGAGGTAGCCGGCCACGTGTGCAATGGCCTGCTCTGTACCCTCTGTGAGCTGTCCATTGTAATCGGCGCAGGAGGCGGCGACTACAAGCATGTCGATGACAGCATCATCTTCGCGCTGCCGTAGCTTCTGTGCTTCCTCCATCTGTGCGGTCACTGTGCCCAAGCTGTATCCTGACAGCCAGACGAGGCTTTTGACACGCACTACCGCTTCCCCTTCCAGGAACTGCCGAACACTGGCCCAGTAGTTGCCCCCGGCCAGCTTCCGGAGGTATCCAAAGCGACCTTCTATCCGGTCAGACTGCACCTTGCCCAGGAGAACGTACTTCATGACATCACTGTGCTTGTCTAGTAGATAGTTCGCCAGCCCGACCAGGCCTCGACACGTGTAGATGGCTGCCTGAGTTGTGTCTCTCGACATCTTTGTGCCTCCCTTTCTGTCGAGCCAGGTCTGCAGCATCTTCTGAAAGTCGACGAGAAAGTTCAGGCCGCCTCTCTCCTCGTTGCTGGGTGGCGTTCTGAGTGGGTCGCGAAGACGGACGTAAGTGAACGCTGTCTTGACGTTCACGACGCTAAACCACTGCCTCAGCAGCTCAAGGAAGTCGGCTGTTCCTTGAAAGGCCCGATACTCTTCTCTCTGACTGAAGAAGCGGAGTGCTGAGACGGTGGACTCGTCGGTAGCCGCCATAGCCAGGTGAACGTTGACGCGCTCAACATTGGTGACGTCAAATCAGGACCTTGGAGGACCTTGTCTGTGAGGCGATGCGCCATCTTCGCTTCTCCTCCCACCTCCAGCAAGTACAGCTGTTCGAGGTGTTTTGATGCAGCATGAAGGGGCGTTTTTGTGCCTGGCATCGGCGGGCATTCCAGGGTCTTCTTGTTGAGTAGCAAACGCCGTTGCCATTTGTCGCTACGATTCGTGCTTTTCGAGTTCTGACGAGGGCCAAAAAGGCCCCCGCCCGATTAAGAGTCTTTCAGAGCCCGCCCGGAATACGGTTAAGCGCTTGAACGATATATGATAATACCAAGTGTTACTCTGGCCGTCATCCAGTATCCACCCATTCCTCGCAGATCCTCCCCCTCCTGCTGCGGTCCGGCCGCCGCCGCCGCCGCCGGCGGCGCCCGAGTTTTTTTTTGCCAGTTACCATGCCACTCGGAGACTTGTGATATGCGTATGTTTCTTACCGCTGCAGCGGTTAGAATAAAGAAACATACCAGTGCGCTGGCCATATGAAAGCTGAACAAAAGTCTGCATTATATTGTATATGTAATTATGTAGGCATGAGACCCTCTGCAGAAAGGAGGCCCCTTTACGGAGGAGGCCCTCTGTAGAAAGGAGGCCCCCGGGATTCCTCCGCCCCTCCCTTGGCCAAATCCTAGCTACGTGCCTGTCTCCCAAATAGCTTCCAGACTAGACACTGAGGTAAAAGTGATAGCACATGAAAGCTCAAAGCAAGAAAAATCAGAAAACTATCTGGCATTTAACCAGTGACGTACCCAAGGGGGGGCCACGGGGGCCAAGGCCCCCCCCCCCCTGAGCGCCGAAGGCGCTCAGGGGGCCCCTCAGACCCCAGGATATTTTTTAAACACTGGATAAAACGTCTTTTACTCGGAAGAAAAATTGATATTAAAGTTTCATTTATGTGCCCTGGGTACCCGAGGGGCCCCTGCAGTCATCCAAGGGCCCCCAGTTTCCTGGGCCCCCATGGTCGCCTAAGGGGCCTTTGGTAGCCGGGGGCCTGGTCTCATGGGGGTCCCTGATAGCCTGTGGCCCCTAGTCGCCTAGGGGGCCCTGGTCGCATGAGGCCCCTGATCGACTGGGGGCCCCTAGTTGCCTAGGGGGCCCTGATAGCCGGGGGCCTGGTCGTATGGGCCCCTGATAGTCTGTGGCCCCTAGTCGCCTAGGGGGCCCTAGTCGCATGGGGGGCCTCTGGTTGCATGATATTGAGGCCCCTGATCGCCTGGGGGTACCTAGTCGCCCAGGGGGCCCCTGGTAGCCGGGGGGCCTGGTCGCATGGGGGCCCCTGGTTGCCTGGGCCCCCGGTCGCCCCTAGTCGCCTGGGGGACCCTGGTCGCCTTGGGCCCCTGGTAGCCTGGGATCCCCTGGTCGCCTGGGGGCCCCTGATCGCCTGAGGGCCGCTGGTCACCTAGAGGGCCCCTGGTCGCCTGGGGGCCCCTGGTAGCCGGGGGCCTGGTCGCATGCGGCCCCCTGGTCGCATGGGGCCCCCTGGTCGCCTGGGGCCCCTGATTGCTTTGGGGACCTGATCGCATTGACCCTTGGTCGCCTGGAGGGCCCTGGTCGCCTGGGGCAGTGGGGCCCCTAGTCATCTGGAGGACCTGGTCGCCTGGGAACCCCTGGTCGACTGGGGGCCCCTGGTCGTCTGAAAGTACGCTTATCACCTGATTGATCCCAAATCATCTGAGTGGCTACTGGCTACTGGATATAAGTAGTGACTGGAGTAGGCACTCATCTGAAGGAGCCAATATCTTTCACGGTGCCGGAGATATCACAGAAAAAAAAAACAAAAAGGCTAAACTGAATACCCCAACCTTGGCCCCAAAGGCGTCATTGGCTAACACAGGGATGTGGGTCGATTTGCAATCGCATTTCCTCCTAAGTTCTATTCCTCCAATTAACCCGCGCCCCGTAGGGCTACCGGCGGACCCTACCACCCGTAGGGGGGGGGGGGGCCGTTTCGGCCCCCCCTAAGATCTCGGAAAGTTACCGTCCGATTTTCAAAATTTAAACGGTGTTCGATAGCCCCACCCGGGAACTACCTTGTGACCAAATTTCATTGACCTAGGTCAAACCGATGACGTCACAGGTCAGGTCAAAGGTCAGATTTTCACCGTTCACAGGCATTTCAATAAATGTGTTGTGAAATCGAGTAAATTGGTAATTTATTGATAACCATCGATGGTACATTGTTCGTCAAACACATACTTTGCTATCTGAGGTCACTGATACCAGGTCAGGTCACAGCGAGGTCAGGTCACCGGGGGTCACAATATGAAAGTGTCGTGTGATACATGTTTTATGGTCCATTTTACATGACAAATGCGATTATGTGGGTTAGGCAGCCTTTGGGGCCAGCCTAGGTCACGTTTTGGTGAAGGTCAGGTCAAGGTCAGGTCAAATTAGGTCAAATTTCAAAGTTGATATTTTTGCATAAACTGTGTATCGATTCGATGCAGCTCGTCACGGGGAGTCTAATGGTGGTCTTTGTTTTGCTCTACGAGGTCTAGAATTGCCAAAAATTGAGTTTGAAAATTTGACGTCATCATTTTTGAACATTTTTTTTCGCTATAACTTGGCCAAAAAACGAGGTATCGATCTGAAATTTGGTATGTAGATAGAAGACGGTAGGTACTATCACATATATTCCGGTTTTTTCGAAACTCAAAAAACTTTCTGGATTTTTTGGCTAATATATCCAAAAGAATGCTTTTTTGATTTTTGGGGGTCAAAACTCCAAAATTTCAAAAATCCGAGATAACAGTTTTGTAACCCTGTCAATTCTACACCTTTTATGTCTTGATCATTTTTCTGTATCTTCAAAGCTGTAGGCGTGACAGGTCTTCTCGCGAAGGTCTTTTTTCGGTCGAAAATGACAGAACATGACGTCACTCTGACGTCATTTGTGGCCAACCTATCATAGCCTCTGGAAAAATTTTTGGTCACAATGTGTAAAATTGATGCCCGGAGGGGTCCTGAAAGTTTGGTGGCGATATCTCCAGCCGTTTAGGAGATATCGACCGAAAAGGACAGGGGGGGGCGTTTCGGCCCCCCCCCTACGGGGCGCGGGTTAATACAGAGTGTCCCAGAATTACCCAAGCATTTATTTTCTTGCTAAAAGTACAATTGCGCTCGATTCCTAGTGAAACATATAATAGCCGCGTTTACATAGGGCTAGTTGCCAGATAGTGGAATTCCGATAACGAGACATTTATTCCCCACTATTATATTATATACCTACATATCCGGAATTGGAGGATGTTCAGTAATTGAGGCGCTCGCTCATAAAATGCCGTGCGTTTCATGCACACTCCTCAAGCAAAAATATTTTTACTTTCCAATTTTCCACATTTTCTCAAGGCAGAGACCGTTACAGAGACTGTTTTAATTGACTTTGATGAAGTTGAACGCGAGAAATCACAACCAAATGCTACATTAGGTTGTAAAGAACTGAAATGCGTTTTCTCACACACGTGGCGTTTTCTCACCTACGTCTGCAGGAGAGACCGGGCCCACTATGCCCCCCCCCCCCCACCATCGAAAGGTTCTTCATGACTCCCGGGGGGCCCCGGGGAACCTGGGGGGCCCTATACACTGTGGGGGGCCCCTTCGAAAGCAGGTGGCCCCCTCCTGGGCGAAATCCTGGGTACGTGCCTGCATTTAACATACTTTAAACGGCTGAGCTATTATTCAAGTAGGTGTAATCACATCCACGGCAATATCAGAACACAGCACCTGTCGAATTTCTGCCTTGACTTCTGCCGTTTATGCGTTAATGCCACTTAAAAATCCTCAGTCGGCGCACATGCGCTTGTCGAGTCGGGGACCACCAGTCGGACGATTCGGAACTGCCGGCCAATCAGCACGCCGCTTTTGTGATGTGGTAGTTTGAGAACCACTGGATATGGTAGCGTAGCAGCTTTTGGAAAGGCGCTACGCTACCAAATCCTCCCCTATTTGTCGCTTAACCCGCGCCCTGCTGGGGGGGGGGGTGTTTGAACACCCCCCCTTGTGGTTTTTCGCGAATATCTCAAAAACGGCGGCGCGGAGCGCCGCCGTTTTTGGTACACCTTATCATACATCAATTCTACACATGTTGTGAAAATTTCAGACCAAGGTCATTCAAGGTCAGGTCACCAGGTCACTTAAAGTGACCTCACCTCATAAAAAGTTTCAATGTCTGTCATAGCTACACCGAGTGACCGATCGCTTTGAAACTTTCAGCGATTGCTAAGAGCAATAGTATGTACAAAATGTATATCTCAGAATTTTGATATCGATGACCTAAGGTCAGGTCAATTTTGCGACCTCCCCATTATAAGTCAATGGGAGAAAATTGAAATGCGCCTCTTTTGGACGAAAGACATTATAAACACTCCCAAACACCGAATTACAAGTGGTTTAGACACACTGAACATGAAAATGGTGTCCGTGACCCTTGCTTATGCCCTGAGGTCATCTTAGGTCACGAATGATATCTAACAGTTTTTCGCGAATAACTTTTGATAGAGGCGTGCTAGAGCGATGAAAACGCCTTAGATGTGTTCAGCTCGACGATACGGATCGACTGATATGCAACATGACCCTTTCCGGTCAGGTCATGACCTTGACCTGAGGTCAAATTTTCAAGTTGACCTTTCAAGGTCAAGTTATAGTTCATTCGATGCGTCTTGACGAGAGGAACACGATGCCGGTAAAAGTAAGCTCGTACAAGGCTTGGGTCAAAATTTATTGCAGAAAAACTGTTTCCAAAAATTCGGCTATTTTTGCAGTTTTTGCCCCCTGCAGGCAAAACCGTTGACGTTAGGTCAAATCTGAGAGAATTACTCAGAAAGGGCGTTAATAGGGCTATCGAATGCGCTTTTCCGCGGCGCTGTAGCTCTATTGGTTCCCGAGTTATGCGTTGGCTTCTTGGAAATTTTCGACATTCGACCTGGAAATCGGCGAAATTTTGCCTTCAATGACCTCTGGTGACCTGACCTTTGACCTGACCAAAAAATTGACCGAAGTGATTTCGTCATTATTTTTGACGCTCTTTCGAACGCCGCCTTCCGCGTATCGCTACGTGGCCCAGGAGCCGAGTTACAAGGGGGGGGGGGTGTTCAAACACCCCCCCCCCCCAGCAGGGCGTGGAAATCCAGGACCCCCAGCCGGGCGCGGGTTAAAGAGGGAATTGAAGGGCAGGATAAAATTACTTCAAAATATGAATTGTTGAATTTCGAGTATTAAATAAGCCCAATTCATATTGTTTACAGCATAAACGATGCTTTGTATGCTTCTAACAACAATAGCGTCCATAGCAACGTTACACGCGAGCGCTATGAAGCCTAAAATTCGATCTGAAAATAGGGGAGAAATAGGGGAAGATTAAGGGAACCCTATGTAAACACGGCTACTGTCCGTTAGTAAGTCAATAAAAGTGTCTTGCTGTTGTGCTGTTGTGTTGGGTGGCATACATATACAAAGCTCAAATAAGAATTGTGTCGTCTTTTACCTTAGTCTGTGTCCATGTCCATTCAATTCCGTCAGTCTCGAGTGTTCGTTCGTACAGGGCAAGTTCGATCGTACAGGGTGTCCGGAAAAATGATACTGAGGTTTTCTGTGATAAAATCGGAAATACGCATACAAGGTTAAAAATTCATATATGATTATATTCCAAATCGAATGGCAAAACAACGATGCGTGACAAAGACATTCGCACTCAACATTTCAGTCATAGCAACCTCTCAAAGAAGGTGCTCGGTGTGAGCACCACTCCGGCGGATCACCTGGGGCAGCCGCACGGTCTCCAGGTGGTCGACTGCCCTGCCCACCATTTCGGTGGGCGTGCGGCCGACTTCCATGATGATGGCACGCTTCAGTTGCTCCGATGTCTTCGGCTTCTCTGCGTAGACCCTAGCCTTCAGGTATCCCCAGAGGAAGAAGTCCAACGGACTCAGATCAGGCGAGTGGGGCGCCCACTTGACCTCCTCCTTTAGGCTGATCACCCTGTCTGGGAAGCGCTCCTGGAGCCAGGCTCGCGATGCAGCGGCGGTGTGGGGAGTGGCTCCGTCTTGCTGGATCCATTCTTCATTGACATCAACGCCATTCTTCCTTTGGAGCTCCTCCCAGAAGGGCCGGAGGGCGGTGCCGACGTACCGCTCCGCGTTGAGCGTCTGGGCCACCCCACGCTCATTCTCGAAGAAGAATGGTCCGATCAGACCGCCTCCTCGTCTCATGGCGATCCACGCTGACACTTTCTCGGAGTGGAGTGGCTTGGTCAGCACCTTGTCAGGCACCTTGGAGCCCCAGTGAACCGCGTTGCGAGAGTTCACGTGCCCGCTGAGCCAGAAGTGCGCTTCATCACTGAACCAGAGACGGTCGAAGACAGCGGGATGCTTGGTGAACCACTTCGCCATTTTTACACGCCTATTCTTGTCCTCTGGTGTCAGCTTGTGGCGAACTTGTATCCTGTATAGATGGAAGCGCAGGTCTTTGCGCAGGATCTTGTTCAGTGTGGTCCGTTTCAGTCCAAGACTTTGAGCCCGATGCCTTACCGACCTTTCTGGGCTCTCCACTCTCCAGGACGGACTGCTCCACTTGCCGGATGGCCTCCTCTGAGCGGACCGAGCGAGGTCTGCCGCTGCCCTTTTTCCTGAGAAACAGTCTGCCACCTCGGAATTCATTTACCCCGTTTACATGAGTCAGCGAAAATGACGTTTAGAACGGATATTTCCGTTTAGCGAAAAGTGCGCAAGTTTCGACTCATGTAAACTGGTTTGGACGCGCAAAAATGACGATTACGCGGAACGGAAATATCCGATGAATTAATGGGAAATATCCGTTTAGGACGTCAGGCCTAAACGGATTTTTTGCGCATCTAGCAGAAAATGACATGAATATGCATGTTTTATAGATGAATTTTTTAGTTTACACATCAAAATACATATTTATCTTGAATGGTAGGTCTAATGACAATGAAATCCACTTTTTAACCCTGATTTCGCGCCATTGTGGCAGATTCATAAAGTACCTACATAAGTGTTGAGAGGAACGTCCTATGCTTCAAAAGGGAAGCATTCTAGTGTAGGGGTAATTTCCTTATTTCTTAGATTCAACAATCAGGGTTCAATTCCAGGGCAACCAACATAGCCTTCCCAGCCAGTCGCTCCCTATAGCCACTTGGAACAGCATGCTAGTGCCATTTAGTGCTTGGTACACTGGATATGATGCTTGATTTACTTTGCTTTAGTACATGCTCCCAAAAATTTTCTCCACCTAGGTACTTCAAACTTCCTAGCAGTGATTCAGATAACTTATGCTTCAGCGAACAGCCACCAGACGGCAGGGCACGCAGGCTGGTTGGGACAGTAACTTGGCTGCATGCCAAAATATACACAAGACACACAGCCAAATTTACTCAGTGACACTGCCATCTGCCCCCCCCCCCCCCCACCAATATTTAAATGTTCACCTTATTATTCCAAAGAAGTAGATTCTTCAGTGGTGGGAAGGTCTCTGAAAGTTTGGTTAATCTCGGATTGTGGAAGCAGGCAACTGGCAAGTTTTGTGGAATTTGTAGAATCATACCTAACCTTACCTACCAACCTAACTTTCAACCTACCATCCTACAAACACACCTACATGCCTACAACCTATTATACCAAACTACTTCCTACCAATCTACAAGGTCAACCAACCTACCAAACCACAATTAGGTACCACTCGGACTTCATCTTTACATCTTACCTGGTGTGATTGAGAGTGGATTATTCTATGCATTTTGAAAATTGCACTGATAGTGTCTTAAAGTTTGGTGGTGAGTAGATGTAATTTCTGTTATGACTAAAACACATGGAAATGATGGATACTGTGTTGCACTCGACAGTCAAGCAATGCACCCACAGGTCACATCTACTACACAATTCACCTAGCACTGATCTGACCCCTGTCTTTGAAGAACTGAGCAGCTAAAAGCAAAAAATGAAAATAAAATGCTGGAACATTCAAGTGCTTCAAATGTGTCAACCAAAAATGTATACACAGTCCCGCACCACCCACTTTCATACCAATGTTTTCTGAAGTGTGGCACCATCCTGCACATCCTTTCATGCCTTTTCATTTTGTCAACTTACTGGAGGTCCATCATGATGAGCTATGACTATTATGAGCTGTCTTAGCCTTTTTCTGAAACCAAAAAGACTTTCAATATAGATGTGCTCTTCAGTGTTGTCCAAGACCTCAATTGTTTACTTGCTTTCTGACAGTTAATCACACTTCTTTTACAGCACACAAGTAAAATAATGGCTTGTGCCATGATTATTTCCAATTCTACATACAAAACTCCTAAGAATCAAGTAAATTAAGCCTAAAACAAGCACAAATAATTGCTTGATAGGAGCTGCGCCAGACATGTAAAAATGCGCAAAATATCCGTATTTTTCGGGCTGCCGGCGTAAAGGGAATTATCCGTTCCGGAACGGATTTTTCCGATAAGGCTCATGTAAACGGGGCCACCGAAACGCATTTTTCCGTTCCCTGGCTAATCGGATATTTCCGTTTAGGCTGAATGACTCATGTAAACGGGGTAATTGACCCATCTGTTGATCGTGACATTGTTTGGTGCAAGGGGGGTCTTTCTGTGATCCCAGCCAAGTTTTCTTACAAGCAGTCTTCGGGTATGGTCAAAGGATTTGCTAGAAATGTACGTCTCCACGCAAAACGCCTTATCAACATTAGAAAGCATCACAAATGGTTTTCTTTTATGTTCATCCTTTTTGCCATGTTCCCGCCTACGAATATGAGAAGTTTTGAAAAAACGGCGCACGCGCTATGAAAAACGAGCCAAATTAGTGAGTATCTTTTTTTCCGGACACCCTGTATGTATGTCTCGTCCTGTGTCTTGTAAAAGATGCGTGGAAGTTCGTCAGCTGGTATAGTACAGGATGTACATTGTCGTCTAGCTTGGTTTCAGATAGTGCAATAATGTCATTTACAAAAAATGTCATCGTCATTTACAAAAATTTCGAGCTCGTCTCGTCGCCCATCGGCCGTGATGCTGCTAATGTTTGCATGACATATTTTGAGTTTTTTGTCTAGTACTGGTCCTGGGTTTCGTTCTACGCATCCAATGATCAGGAGCGTCTTCATGTCGTGGTACATGCCATTCAGTCTGTCCTGTCTATTAGTCACCAATGTCTGCGTCGTAAAGTCGTGTTGTGCATGCGTCATGTTGTCTGTCTCTGTCTCACTAGTTAACTGGTGCGTAGATGTGCACTGCATATGGTGTGTGAAGTGGTGTAAGGACTTGCGTGGTGCTGGGTGAGACGGCGACGGTCGGGCGGCCTGCGGCGCTCCGCCAGAACCCGCGGTCCGGGCCACGACGGTCGGCTGCAGAGAGCACGCTGAGGCGGCGGGCGCGGCAGCTGACGCAGCGGACAAGTCTGAGACAAAACGATACGATTGTGAAGCTGGTATAGTGAAAAGCGCAAATAAGGCATGACCAGTGAGCACCCGGCACGGAGCTGCACGGAGCTTAGGCTAAGCTCCGTCTTCTTTCCGGCTTCGCTCAGTCTCTTCACGGCACGCCTGAGCTTGCCGCCGCCTCACTCCGCGTGACGATGGAGTTGCGGCGGCTACGCTGATCGTCTTCTATCTTGTTCGCCATATTTGCACTGTTAGTCACTGACGTCACTTTTGGGGTTTAAACCAGTTTTTTTTTCTTATCCGGCAGTAGTTAGGAGATGGACAAGAGGAGGAGGATCGCTGCAAGGCGAGCGTCGGCCGCTGACAGAGCGGTCCGCTGTCGCTGCCCATCTCGCAGGCGCGTTCGTGCAACACTGCCGGCCCTGTCACTTGGGAGCTCTGACCGAGGCTCGCCACATAAACTGGGCCGGGACTAAAAACGCTGGGTCGCCGGGAGTAAAAACGCATGGCTGGCGGCGGGCCGCCGCATTTCGCGTGACGCAACGCCGAGCGGGCGGCGGCCGACAACCACAGCCGTCGTAGAGAAAACTATAGTTGACGGCATAAACACACGGAAAGAGAAAGGAACATGATTTGATCACTAACAAAGTTAATTGGGGTCACGGTCATGAAATTTTTAAGGTAGGTAGAAAATTGATCAACTCGAGGGTACTGAAAGTTTCGTCGCAATCGGCTACTTTTTACGCGAGCTACTTGCGAAAAACCGAGGGTTTCCGTGTGACCGACAATATAGGTGCGATGGTTAATTAGGAGCCAAACAGCTAGGGAGGGGTCTTATCCACCCACTTTTTAGAGAGTTCCCGAACTGTTAGCCATTTTTTCACTAAGATTTGAATAATGACGTGACTTGTTCGCGAACACATTTCTCCGTGAACAGATTGTTTGTTTATTTCAAAATTAAACGGACACTTAACCCTGACTGGTAGTGTTATTGCCTTTCAGGACTACATCGACGGAATTGTTGGGAACAAATCGCTTCAAAAGACGATTTCGACTACATTTTTCCTTTATTTCGCCTGTATTCTGCCGTCAATCGCCTTCGGAGTGCTCAACGACCACAACACGGACGGCAAAATCGGTAAGCCTGGCTGGGAGACGTTGGCAATGCGCCACTATGCACCCAGTTACAGCCTACATCTTACGTAATTAGAGAATGAGGAGTTCACTCCACAATAAATCGTACGGGTCGGAGTTTTCAATTTTTTTGCGAACGGTAACCCCGGATCCGGATTGAGAATCGCTGACGAAGTTTGGTGAATACAATTCAAAAGCTCCGAACCGAACGATTTCTTGTGGAGCAAAGTCTTCATTCACTTATTACATTAACCCGCGCCCTGATGGGGGCCATTCTGCCCCCGCCGCCAAATTTTCAGTACCTTCCCGGGCATCAATGTGACACCTTCGCAAAAATATCAAGTCACAGGTCACCTTAGGTTAGGAGTTATTGGCGTCAAACTGAGGCCATGTTCGAGCAAAAATTAGCAGAAAACATGGCATCTTGAAACGCTCACAAAATCTACAGTTAACAAGCACTTTAAAGTTCTTTTTTTTGGTCGTGTAGAAAAATAGCGCTACAAAACTGCTGTCTTGGATTTTCAAAATGTGGGATTTTGATCCCCAAAAATAAAAAAGCAGATTTTTAAGAAAAAAAACTAAAAAACAAAAACTTTCGAATCTAAAAAAACGGAATATATATGATAGTCCCTGCGCTTTTCTATCTACATACTAATTTTTAGATTGATACTTCCTTTTTTGTCCAAGTTATAGTGAAAAAAAAACTTCAAAATCGATGTCAATTTTTTTAAACTCAATTATTAGCAATTCTAGACCACGAACTGGCGGATCCAGGGGGCAGCAGGGGCTAAAGCCCCCCCCCATTCGAAACTCGACGGGGGCGGCAATATAAACTTACCCCCCCCCCCCAAATGCACCGGGATTGTTCGGCCGATTGCTAAATTCGGTGCCTCCGAGAGTGAGGTCTCATTATGATGTCATTCACGAGAATGTTTAAATAAGGAAATAGCGGCTGGGTCCAGGGGCTGGGTCGTGGACCCAGTTTTGGCTGGCGGAACTGCTCGAACAATATGTGTTTTGCCTAACTCAATATACCTAAGAATTAATTTAATATTAATTCCGACTTAATGCGCATAGCTGCCGCTAGCGTATTGCAGCCGCCGCCGCCGCCGTCGCCTAAACAAATGGTCCTCCGAGCCGGCTGATCTCGTTAAGACCAGTCAAGAACGAAATAGCATCATGGAAGCCAGGCTGCAAAAACAAGTAAGAGCCAAGAAAGCGATGTTAACTAGAAGTTTAACAAAGCTAGACGCTCTGATCGTAGAAGAAAAGAGCAGGGAAGAAGTAAAAGTCTACTTAGACAGCGTGAAGCAAAAGAAAGCCACACTGACAGAGAGCTATGAAAAGCTCTTAGCGGAGGTGAGTGAAGAGACACTGGGGACGGAGCTCGAATCGTGGGCTCAGTTAGAGGCACTGGAGATGTCCAGTTTAGGGCGGGCTCAATACTATCTGAAAAGATCGCAGCCTTTATATATATGTTGCAGGCACTTTAGAAAATCAGTCATTTTGTAAAATGCCTAGGCATTTTGCAAAATGCCTGATTTTCCAGGCTTTTTGCAAAAAGCCTAGGCATTTTACAAAATGACTGACTCTCCAGTCATTTTGCAAAATGCCTAGGCATTTTACAAAATACCTAGCCATTTTACAAAATGACTGAGCAGTGTGTTGTAGATACGAGTACCTAATTATATATGTTTTGGTAGCGTGTAGGTGGACCGAGGAGTCCAGCATTATGACCAGAGGAGTCCAGCAGTGGGAAGTCCATACCTGCCTCTATTTTGAAAAGTGCAGGCCCGCGACATTTCCAACCCCCACGTCAGCGACGATGCTGGATTTAAGATGATCTATCTGGAGCGTCACCAAACGACTGGCCCTATGCCGGCCTGTATCTGTAAAACTATTAGAGGTCGCGAGGATTCGATCCCACACACTTAGGCGTTAGTGTCTTCTGAAACCAACGCTCTCGTCCTACGCCAAGCGACCTGATGATTCTCCCGATGTGGAGCTTGATATTTTTAACTGGGACCATGCAAGTAGGTACTCAAAGCTGTTGCCACAGAGCAAAATTAATCGTGTTTTGTTAATTATTGCTTTAATATTCATTGTGATCAAAGAGCTTTTTTATTCCAAAGAAAAGCTAGGAAGAAAAGCTAAAGAAAACCTTGCGGCGCGAGTTATTGGCGAAAAACAGGAGGGGTGAGCGGAATCCACCTTCCACTGCGCGTGTTAAAAAGTGAGGATGAGAGAGAAGGAGTGGGAAATTATAATTAAATTCGGACGTGTTTTTAATGTCCAAATACATAATGCAGTTTTGTCCGTAATGGCATAATCAAACAAAGACTACACTCATTCGTTTACATGTCATTGTACATCAACCGGGCCTGCCTATTGACTAGGGCCGGTCTCCGGCTGGTTTTGTTAGGTCTAGTTTCAGGCAGAACATGAACGGCGTTGATGTACTTGGGAGTTTTTACAGCGTTAACTAAACAATGCTTTATGCTACAGCCGAGTCTGCAACTCAACCTGGTCGTTACTCAGCATTGTCGTTATCACAGAGCTTCAAATCGATCAGCTACAGGCTGAACACGTACCTATAGGGTATAGGAAGACGTCCAAAAACTGTTGGCCATAGTATCTGTAGTGGGATCTACGTTCCATGCTGGTCAGGCATTTTGCAAAATGCCTAGTCAGTTTGTAAAATGGCTAGCCATTTTGAAAAAAAGCCTGGTTGCGTTCAGTCATTTTTCAAACAGCCGTCTTTTTGTAAAATGCCTAGGCATTTTACAAAATGACTGATTTTCTAAAGTGCCTGCAACATATGTATTTACGTCAGCAGACACTCCACAACACGGTGGCTATTACGCATAGGCGGCGGAACGGGGAGGGCACCGGGCACCGTGCCCCCCTTTGATTTTGGCATTTTAACATTAGCCCTATGGACGTTGCATGGAAAGAATGGGACCAAAAGTCGTCAGTGCCCCCCTTAATTGAAGGTGTTCCGCCGCTTCTGCTATTACGTGTCAATTGTCAGTGAATAAAACGGTTGGGGAAGTCGAAAGGTACACGGCAAACAACGATCATCCGCCGAAACAGCACAAACACGCACGCACAATCACTCCAAATAAAGGAAACGTTTCGCTGCCGGTTTAAAAGCCGCTGGCTCGAGCCATGTCACGTCACTGGGCAAAGGGTTTAACCCTCGCCGGACCTATTGGTTTTCTACATACGCGCCGGCCGAGGGGGGGTACGACCCCCCCCCTCGCCGTTTCGCCCCTGGTGGAGCTAGCGCGTCGCGGAAAAAACGAGCGTGTGCGCCGTTACGAGACGCAGAGATTGGTACCCGATTTTAAGGTCCTAGGTCAACCGGTGACCTCTGAGGTCAGGTCAAGTGCCCCAGGGTACGGTTCAGTTTTTGGTGAATAACTTCGCAAAAAACGGCCGCAGAGCCGCGATTTTGGCAGCATCGTGTTCGCCTCGCTCAGGCGCGTCGAATGATATACTTTTTGTTCGGGTCAGGTCAACTTAGGGTGTTGACCTCAGGTCAAGGTCAGGTCAGCACCCCCAGGTCACGAAGTTGGTCGAAAGAGGTCATGTCGCATATCACTCGATTCGGCAGGTCTTTCTGAGTCCATTGGTGGCTTTTTCGACTCGCTAGCTCAATTTGATCGGGAGTTATTGACGAAAAACTAATATGACCTTGATGACGTCATAAATGACGTCACGGAAGGTCAACATTGCAAAAATGACGCATCTAACCTTGCAAGGAGTGCATCAAATCACGATTATGTGTGCTTGAGATAGTTGGAGATCGTTCCCGGCGCCAGAATAGCAGTTTGAATTTTTCCCCATTGACTTATAATGGTGAGGTCACGAAAATGACCTGACCTCATATGACCTTTAGGAAAAATCCGAGATATAAAAAATGTGAGACTCATAATGGATACTAGATCCTGCAAGTTTCATTTCCCTGTGACATCTCCTCTGGCAGTGAGGGCGTTGCGAAGTTGCGACATCTGAAGACCGTGCAGAGGTTCACTTATGACGTCATAGGTCAGAGACCTGACCTGACCCAAAAATGCGGTTGGTGTCAAAAGATGCGGCTTGGATCAAAGGTCAGGTATGCCAAGTTTCAGCTCTCTATCGCCAGCGTGTTCGGAGCTATCGCGAAAAAACCCTATGGGGGGCGGCACCCGCCCCCCCTTGGCCGGCGAGGGTTAAAAGCGAGGCTGCTCGGTACGCAAACCCTCGCCGCCCGACCGCTGTTCTTGTAGCTGGCGGGCGCAACTCACGGTCTTGTCTAGTGGGGCGGTTACACTGCCGTGCGTCGGCGAAAGTCACAAACAGTGAGGCGAGCTCCTCGGGCTCGCCCAGGGCACAGATTCTATGCGCAATGATAGCGGTCTGCGCATCACACATCTGGCGCGGTGTGTGCAGGCCCAGGTCGCCCCGCGCGCGAGACACACGATCGTACCTTTGAACACCGGCTGCTTCTCTGGTGGCAAAGTTCACAACTTTCAGTAGCTGTTCGTTGTTAGCCGCGGAGCCGTTCCCGTACACAGATAGACAATATCTCACGCGCGAGACGACCAGGCCCTGCACGACTACAAGGAGCGTCCGCCGCGGGAGGAGGCTCCTCAGGTGGCGGAGATCGATCAGGAGGCCGACACACTTACGTACCACGTCACTGACATGAGCATCCCACGTAAGGTGGCGGTCGAAAATGACGCCTAGGTTTTTAACGCATGGGCTCTCCTGAACGGTCCCGCCACCGACCTGGCCGGTCTCCCGCAGGGCAGCGTCCTGGCCCCGACGCTGTACACCCTGTGGGCTGCCGACCTCATCTTGGAGCTGCGACGAGTGCCACACACCACGACGTACATGTACGCGGACGACACCGCAACCCTCAGCGGTGGGAGCTCTATTGCCCTGGCAAAGGAAAGGGCACAGAAGTCGGCGGACATTATCGCCGCCTGGGCGGACCGCTGGAAGATGAGGGTGGCGGGT